ACAGTCACCTGCAACGAAGGTTGTGTGATGAAGGGCTGGCTCACCACCCAATGTATTGGCAATGGGAGTCCAGAGCTTTTGCTAGTAGCTTCTAAGTAGCTACAAAACTCGGGAGAAAGAATGACATCAAGGAGCTGGGCAGTGGTGGCGCACACCTTTAATCCCAGCACTTGAGAGGTAGAGGCAGGCAGATTTCTGAGTTCAAGGCCAGCCTGGTCTACAGAGTGAGTTCCAGGACAGCCAGGGCTACACAGAGAAACCCTGTCTTGAAAAACCAAAAAAAAAAAAAAGAATGACATCAAGGCCCCAAATTCACAGCCCAAGAGCCAAATAGAATAAGAAGTTTCTACCACTGCCCTGGAACAAAACCACACTTCATTTAGCAAACTTGGCATTTCTGAGAAACAAATCCAGTCTGATCATATGAGAAGCCAAAATAAAATGCAAATTAAATTTAAAACCTTACAGGATCTCAGGATGATATTCTGCATACTTTTATAATCTCTGCATCTCAGTACATCAAAATGCCTTAAAAATTGTACTAAGCTGAATACTTCCCAAAATACCACATTCTGGTCTGTGGAACATATACTTGCTTTGTTACTTGGTGAAGGTTATGGAAAGAGTACCCTTTCTATGTTCAAATGCAGATGAAATTCAGAATCTTGAAGCCAGGAATGACGATACAAGTCTATAATCCCAACATCTGGGCAGTGGACACAGGAGGATCAAGAAGAGTCCAAGGCCTTCTCTGCTGTGGAGTGAATTTGAGGCCAGCCTAGGCTGCATGAGACCCAAACTCAACAAACAAACAACAAAAAGAAATTAAGAATATTAAGCTACACCAAGTGTGCATACCTATATCCTAGCATTTGGCAAACAGAGGCAGGAGGATCACAAGTTCAAGGCCAGCCAGGTCTATGTAGCTAATTTCAGGCCTCTCACAGCTTCATAGTGAGACACCAACTCAAAAAAGTGGGCATAAGAGGATATATGGGGATCTAGTATATACCACAATGAAGAACACTGTTTGTTTGTGACAGTATTTGTCTGTGTAGCCTTGGCTATCCTAGAACTCACTTTGTAGACCAAGCTGACCCTGAACTCAGAGACCTGCCTGCCTCTGCCTCAAGCACAAGCCTTGCCGCCAGGAGTGCCCTTCAGCGCCATCTTTACTCCTAGACCCTTGATAGAACTGCTCTACAGGACCAATGTGAACTGGGATGCAAGTGGCCACATGCTTTCCATGAGGCCAAAGATAGATGTGGCCATCCAGGGACTAGATGCAATGTGGTCTTCTTTTAGGTGGCAGGCTATACACAGAAGCTCTCTTCTTTGTTGCTTTTATTTATTTTTCACATTAAAAATGCCAGGCAGTCATGACACATGCCATTAATCCCAGGAGAAGCAGGGGGATCTCCGTCTGACTTTGAGGCGAGCCTGGTCTACAAAGTAAGTTCCAGGACAGTTGGGGCTATCTGACTACACAGGTAGTCAGAGTTACACAGAGGAACCCTGTCTCAAAGAAGTGGGGGGAAAAGACAGGTATACTTCAGTCCTACAGCACTTATTTTCCCTATTTCCCCAGGCGATGCACTTGGGGACAGTTAACAAGTTCTAAAACAGGGCACACTCCTTAGCTTCTACTTCCCAGCTGGATGGCTCTGGTAGTTTCATTAATACCAGCTGAAATGTGCCTGGTTCTCCCTTACTGTGAGAGAGACAGGATCTCCAGACAGAGAGCAGTAAAAAGGGTGTGAAGTTCAGGTACAGCAATGAAAAGCTTGTTTTGTTTTGAGTAAAATTTTATTTTACTTTTTAAATTTTCTTTATGTGTATACCTGAGTGTATGCCAATGCACCACGTGAATGCAGAAGTGTGGAGGTCAGAAGAGGTATAACCTCCTGTAACTCAAGTTACAGACCGTTTTGAGCTGTTATGTGGGTGGTGGAGACCAAAACTGAATCCTCTGCAAAAGCAGTGAGTGCTCTTAACCACTGAGTCTTCTTTGCAGCCAAATCAATAAGTCTTTGTCAAAGTGCCATTGAGAGAGCACCACACTGAAGACAGCTGAAGGCGGGTTAGCCGAAGGGTTGTCAGGGTTGAGGATCATTCCCATCCCTGGATTTCTTGCCTACCTACTCAGTAGATGTACACACTTCTGCTGCTATGAATTTAACAAAGTCTGCCCAGACAGAGAAGCCTTGGAATCCACAGAAAAGACACTTCTCTGCTTATATCTTTTCTTTGAAATTTGCTGAGAGTAACTCTCAAGAGTAGCACTCCTCCAATGCATACAAATGATAGCCATGTACAATGGTGGATACATTAAGGAAATTATCTGATATATATAAAATCATTACATTGTATACCTTGCATATACAATTTCTATTTGTTAATATATCTCAATAAAACAAAAACACATTTTAGATGAAGAAAATAGCTGCACAGACATACATGTAGGCAAAATGACCTCTCCCACCACATAGATAATCTTCCAGTCTCTGAAGTTTAGATACACTATAACCTGATGTGTTTAAACTCAGTAAAATATAAATTACATTAATTATGCTTATCCAAGTCCTTCATCACACTGACGGCTAACTGATACAGATAGGCTCAGACTCTTCCCACCTTAACTTGCCCTCCATACAGCAGGTATCTTAAGAAAATATAAATTTAATCATATTCCTTCCTTGTTTGTAAAATTCAACTGACACCTCTTCCAAATGGAGGATACAGAGCCCTTCACAATCTGGCCTTAAGCTAAATTTCCGGTCATAAACTGCAGCCTATCTCAAATCATTCATTGTTTCGTGTATTTTTTGAACAAATATTTGGCTCTTTAAAAAAAAAAATCTTTCCTGGAAGTCTCAGGAAACGTCACTAGGAGAGGACAGTATTCTGAGTCCTGTAAGATATGTACATCTACACATAGAGAAGGGATTGTTTCTCCCCATTTCCCTGGCAGTTCTGGGACTTGCGGTAGGCTAGGTATGTGTGTTACCACTAAACTATCCTGCAATCTTCTAGCAACTTACCCTTCCCCTACACTCTGTGCTTATCTTTGAAAGAGCACATTAATGGCCAATGGTTTTTGAAGATACAATGTTAATCAGTTTCTCTAGTTGATAGCCCAAAACTGTTTACCAGCCATTCAGAAGATAACCATCTCAAAGGAAACAAACAAAATCAAACTAACCAAACAAACCCTGATTAAGATAAGTGACTGTGATGTATCCTTGGTTAGGTAAGATAGTAGAGAGTTCTTTTCAGTGTTGTATTTCCCTGTATTGCCTCACCAGCAGCACCTGTCAGATTAGGCACTTGCTCTGTGTTGGATTTACAAAAGGCTTGCCAATAGATAAAAGCCTTAGCATTTAAATCCTCCAGAAAGAATGATCTCTCTGTGAATTAAGTCTCTCTCAAGGGCTCTACAGCTTTCAGGATTCTGGGTGGTATACCTTTGGACAAGTCTTTCTGTACAAGGACTATAATGTGAAACCCTATTTCAAATTAAACAAATAAATATAAATGAATAAAAATAAAAATCCTACGGTTTTCTGAAAAACATTTCAATATGTTGGATAAAGTAACTTTTTTAAAAAGAATGAAAGGATTACATTAATTTGTATCGTGGAGTGGTTTAAATTTTGAAGGGTTTTTAATGGCTGCCTAAATTATTTAAAATTTATTCTTGGTTAGGGGTAGTTCTCAGTATCGAAGCACTTACCTAGCATTCAGTATGCCCTATGTTCCACCCCAGAACCTCTAAATAAGTAAATAGTCGCTGAATATTTCTGAGAGAACTGACAGAGAAGCGCATTAAATCTCCAGCTTTAAAAAGCGATTACAAAGAACTAAAGTTACAGCTCAGTGACAGATTGCTCCGTCAATATTCCCACGGGGTTCATTTCCCAGCACAGCCACACACAGTGAAGTGGGGGGGCAGGAGTGGGGGTGGGGGTGGATGAAGAGAACCAGGAGATTGGGAGACAGAGAAGAGAAGGGCTCTTGCGCGTGCGCGCACTATCAGGCCAGGCGTAATTGCAAAGCGGAGTGACTAGAAAGCAGCAAGTGCGGTTTGGAAGTTATTGGTACGGTGCATCTGAAAGCGGCCAGAAAATAGGGGTAATACAGTAGGAAAAAATTTAAAGGGAGGGAAGTTAATCAGGAACGTAAACGTAGAAGTCATTCATTTGAAAGCAAACAAACTTGAGTTAGTAGCAACTCAATTAAGACGTGAGAAACAACCAATCACCTGTAACTACAAAAGTAAGTGAAGTGCCTACAAAGACTCAACTCTGGTGCCATCTTCAAATATTGCATTTAATAGAATATAATAAAGGACACGCTCCTCAAAGTAAAGAAAATATAAGTGCCTCGCTACAGTTAAGGCCCATTTCTTCATTTTAAATCCCTTAATTAATTTGAACTAGCAGAAACTCGAGTTCGCTTAAATAAAATGTTCACTGAGCTCCTCCACTCTTCAATACTTAGAACCCCTACAACCTCTCGCCACACACACTGATGGGAGCCTCACATGGTTTCAGACAACCATCGCCTTCGCTCTAGCCTTACCACGGGCACCCTTTCCATCTCTTCAAGTCCCTGCAGCTTCTTGAGCACACAGTCCTCGCCGAGCAGACTCATCCCTACCCCAGGGTCACAGGCTGGGCCGGAGCTCCAGAGAAGATCACGGACAGACTGGCCGCCAGCCTGGCCCCCAAGGCACTTGGCCCGCCACCGGAGCTTGCAGGCAGTATGCCTGCCACACCCCTCCCCTCAGGATCTTTTCCTCCTCCACCCAGAACGTTCCAGCACGTCCAGGCCGGAGGTACAAGGCGCCCATTCATCTGCTCCCCATGAACGAGTGCAGCAGCCCGTCGCTGCGGTCCGGGTGGCCCAGGCATCTTGTACCTTAACCGCCCCACGCCATTCCAGCCCGCAGCCTCCGGCCTCGGCGTCCCGCCAGCGCCCTGCCAGTGCCCTCCGCTCACCCGCCGTGCGGCTCGGCCAGCTGCCCGCAGTGGAGCCCCGGGCTCCGGGACGCCGGGCGACCCAGGCTTCCGAGCCCGCCGGCTCCGCCGCAACCGCTGACCCGCAGCGCTGCCGGCTCCCGCCGGCTCTGTCGCCTGTACCGCCTCAGTGAGGCCCAGGCGTTTCCGGGTTCCCGCGGTCCGGTCCGCCAAAGGATCCGGCTTCCGCCTTGGCCCCGGCAAACGCCGTTCCCTGTTTGGCTCTGGCGGCCCCAGCTTCGCGCTTGCCAGCCGCGTCCCTAAGGCGACCTCACCGGGGCTGCTCCTCGCGCAGCTCCCGTGATGGTCTCACGGTCGCCGGAGAGTGTGATAGGAAGGTGTCTCTCCCCCACAGTCCTGCGGCAGAAAGTGGCAGAATGATCCGTCGCTTAAGGAAGGGCAAAGTCCTTTGGGCCAAAGAACTCTGATAGAGAACCCGGAGGCGGATCTTGGCTCCTGAAAATGACCACCAGTGAGTTGAAAACAAGATTATCGGTGGTGCAGGTTACCAACCTTAGTCTAGGCGCCAGCTGGTTCGGTTAGGAATGACCCCTGTCCCCACCCTGATAGACCTGGAAGAGTGTCAGGAACGCAAAATGGGCTTAGTGTCACTAAACAGGGGAAAGGTACAGAGAGAAAGAGAGCGATTTACCTCTTCTTGTCTGCAAGACTCTCATGAATATTACATTTCAGTCTTCTAATGTATTTCGAAAAGCTCCCAACCACTGTAGTCATTGCTGGCGGTGGACAGGCTGAAATGTAATATTCTGGGTCCAGTTTGATCATCGGATACAGCAGATTTATCCCTTCCCTGTTAACACAATGCTTCTACAATTCAGCTTACGCTTCTTCACGTTGCAAGGGATTAAAACCTCGCCTTAGGGAAGCATCGTTAGAAAACATCAGAGAAAAATAAAATTAGAGACTGTTAGCATACGATACCTCTCGTTTTAAATTTTTTTGTGTAATCCGGACTTCAGAAGACTTCTGAATGATGGAATGTAAATTAGATCTTGATATTTGCTAGGGTCCGAATCTAAAATGTCCCCCAAAGATTCATCACACGGTAAAGGTATGGTTGCCAGCTAATGGCTTTGGTGTTGGGGGAAGTGAATGGATAGTGAAGCCTCTGACTTAAGCCACTGATGTATTAAATCTTAGAAGGTATTATTGGGAGATGCTGTAAATTGTAGAACAGACCTATTTGGAAAAAGTGGGTCACTGAGGATGTGTCTTACCCTGGCCTTTCCTCCGGTTTTCTTAGCAGCCTGTGTGGTTTTTTGTAAATAACTGACCCCGTACATAAATTCTAACCAAAGGCTCAGAAGCAATGCAACCACGTGACCATGAACCAAAGCATCTGAAACCTCGAACCCAAATAAGTCCTCCTTCCTAAGTTGTTTTCTCAGGCATTTTGTTGCGGCAGCAAAAAGAAAGTAATAAACACAATACTTCTTACTTTTTTTTTTTTTTTTTTTTTTTTTTAAAGACAGAGTCTCACGTTTGTAGCTCAGGCTGGCTCCAAGCTGGCATTGAAGGTGTCGATCTCTTGGCAGCCATCCTGTCTCAGCCTTTCTGAACTAGGGTCAAAAGCTTGAGCAGTCAATCTGCTTTCTTTCCTTTCCCCTTTCTCCTCCCTACCAACACCCTCAAAATGACTGAAAATTTACTCAGGCCTTTGTACCTCATGTACTTCCCACTGAGCTCTTTCTCCATTTTTTTTTTTTTTTTTAAAAAAGAAACTTAATGTTGTCCTTCCTTCTAAGTTCTGCTCAACAGTTACCTGGCTGTCTCCAGGTAGACCTGGCTTGATATAAAAGGGGCTGTTTGGCCCCTCCTCCCTCTCTTACTCTCACTGCCTTTTTCTCTCTCCGACCCCCCCCCTTCTCTCCCCTTTCCTCCTCCCCCCTCCCTCCCCCCACCCCCACCCCCGTCTCTTCGTCTCTACTCTCCTTCTCATGTCCCTAAATAAACTCTAATCTATACCATATCTGTCATAATAAGGCTGGTACCTCAGGGGAAGGGGATGCCTCAGCATGGACCTGCTGAGCACCCCTCCCACACCTCACCACCTCACCATACCTGGCTTTTTTTTTTTTATATAAAACACAATACTTAATATGCCTTGTTCATGCTAATTACACCTTGGCACTATTGTGAAGTGTGTGTGTGTGTGTGTATGTGTGTACCTTCAGTGTGTGTGTATACAGATACCTAGAAAACAGTTGATACTCCGTAAATGTATGATTGTAAAGGAAAAGGAAAATATACCTTATAACATAAATTCTGTTCTGTTGCTGTTTTATTTTGGTTTTGAAGGCAAGGTTTCCTTATATAGTCCAGGCTGCCCTGCAACTTGCTATATAGCCCAGATTGGTTATAAACTTATGATTCACCTTGACCTTGGCCTCTTGACTGCTGGAATCCTCGGCAGATACCACTACAAATACATAGGTTAGAGAAAAGAAACATTTTTCCTTTTATTTTTCAGGAAACTTTATTTTTTTTAATTTTATTTTATTATGTATATGAGTGCTCTGTCTGCATGTATGCCTGCATGCCAGATGAGGGCATCAGGTCCCATTACAGATGGTTGTGGGCCACCATGTGGTTGCTGGGAATTGAACTCAGGACCTCTGGAAGAGCAGCCACTGCTCTTAACCTCTGAGCCATCTCTCCAGGCCCCAGGAAACTTTAAAGATATTGAAAAAAAATAGAAGTGGAAGCATTTATAATAACGAAGTAGTGGCATGTGCTTTGGCACCTTGGAAGACATAAAACTGAAAAAATTACCTAAAGCAGTGAAAATAGAGGGTCAACTCTATAACACCCTGATGTAAGGCCTAAGGTAAAGAAATGAGCCATGTATGGTATAGAAATACAACTGTAGTCCTAGCTGCTTGAGAATCGGAGGCAGGAGGATAACTTGAGCCTAGGAGTTCAAGGCTAACCTGGGCAATTTAGTGAAATTTTCTCTCTCAAAAAAAGAAAGGAAGGAAGGAAGGAAGGAAGGAAGGAAGGAAGGAAGGAAGGAAGGAAC